ACCATCATCATCATCACCACCACCCCCACCTCCAGCACAGGTAAGGCCGCCTTTCCTCCTGGGGCTCCTGCCTCCTCTGCACCCTGAGACCAGCAACAACGGCCCTTCCAGGGGCAGGAGCATAGCTGGCGAGTCAGCTGTCACCTCTGCGCATGGGCGGGGGGTCTCACTGACATTCCTCTCAACTCAGGAAATTGTCCCCTGGGCCCTCGGCCTTGGGAGTTGAGATGCCTGTGTCACGACCACCCTCCCGAGCCCCAACCACAGTGGAGACGACTTGGGGATGTTTCCAAAAACCAGCAAGAAAATATCACAAGGGTTAAAGAAAGCAGAGAAATGTCCTTAAATTCCTCTGCATTTGTTCTGGTGGAAATCGTAGCTACCACTGGGCAAGCCACCAGGGGTATGACAGCCACAGGAAAAAGAAACGTGTAAAATTTAAAAACATTTTTAAAAGTCTTGAGCTGTGTAATGACATCAACTTCTTCTTTTTTTCTACTTTACTGCAGCTTCATCTCCCACTTCAACTCCGCGTAAGTCCTGTGGATGGTACTTCCAGGTGGGAGATGGGGCGAGGTGGACAGGTCACATAAACGAACTCTGAGGACATCCCTTGAGACCCAGATGTGGGGCCGGCTGGCAGGCCATCTCCTCACGGACCGAGATGGTGTATTTGGTGACTTATTTCCAAGTTTGTTGAGTCCAGGGACTCACGCAGGGGGACTTGACCGGCTCTAGGTGACAACATTGTTGGTCAAGGGTTGAGACCAAGCCCCTTCCTCACTGGAATGGGTGACCCTTTCGTCTTCTATTTTTTGGCACAAGAATTTGAAAATAGTGGAGGAAGGAGCGCTGGCCTGAGCCCCGAGGCCTGGGTCCATCAGCGCTGGGGGCGCGGGGGCTCTTCCCTCTCTGGGCCTCAGTTTTCCAGCTGCAAAAGATGGGTGGAAATGGTGTCCAGCTCTAAACTCTTTGACCCTACAACTGTATCCTGGGGGACAACAGGGAGCCGGTCGTGGGGGTCTCTGACGTAGCCGAGTCCCAGTGACCTCCCCGGCAGGCGCGCCCCCAGGCGTGGCTGACCAGCCCTGGGTCTGCTTCCCTAGCGCCGTGCTGCTTCTGGTCCGACTGGATCAACGAGGATCACCCTGAGACTCACGGCGACAGCGGGGACCGTGAGAGGTTCGACAGCGTCTGCCAGGCCCCTGAGGACATCGAGTGCAGGGCGGCCACGGAGCCCCAGCTCAGCTTGGAGGAGCTGGGCCAGAAGGTGCAGTGCAATGTGTCGTTTGGGTTCATCTGCAAGAATGAAGACCAGTTTGGGGACGGACCATTTGGAGTCTGTTATGACTACGAGATACGTGTCCGCTGTTGCCTGCCCATGGAGGAGTGTCCTTCGACCCCAACCACGACCCCCACGACAACTACTCCAACCACGATGACCACAACCACCACACCGACCAAAACCTCAGGGCCAACAACCCCAACTCCCAGCACCAGCACCCCAAAGACCCCGACACGAATTCCTAGCACCACAACCACCATGACCACAAGACACACGATGAGCACCACACCAGAGACCCCAACACCAAATCATACCACCAGGATCACAGAGACCACAACTCCCACCAGGACCCCTATGCCAGGGACCCCAACGCCGACCCCCGACACTAGGACGACTGTGACCATAACACACACCACGACCACCACCACGGGGACCCCCACTATGACACCCAGCACCACCCCCACCACCTCCACAGAGACCTCCACCCCTACTCCCACCACGACGCCTACCGCGTCCGTGACTGTTACCACTACTACGTGTGTGGCTCACTGCGAATGGACTGGCTGGCTGGATTCTGGGAAACCAACCTTTACCAGCACAGGTGGAGACATTGAACCCATTGGAGAGGTCTGTGGAAGAGGCTGGGTAGCCAACATCTCCTGCAGAGCCAGTATGTTTCCAAACATTTCCATCAAACGGCTTGGACAAAGGCTGGTGTGTGACACTTCGGTTGGACTTGTGTGCAAAAACAAAGACCAGAAGCCAGGGGGACCCATCCCCATGCCTTACTGCCTCAAC